GCCCCCCCAGAGGTCCCCCTGGGGGCCCCCCACGAGGCCCCCCCAAGGGGGCCCCCCAAGGGCCCCCCCAGGGAGCCCCCCTGGGGGCCCCCCGGGGGGCCCCCGAGGGGGCCCCCCAGGGGCCCCCCGAGGGGGCCCCCTTGGGGGCCCCCCTGGGACTTGGCGAGCTGCCTGTCAACCTCGTCAGCAAGCTCCAGACCTGCAGCAACAGCAGCCATGTTTTGCTGCAGGTCTTTGTCCGTTTTGGATAAAGAATCCAACCAAGACCCTAGGGGCCCCCGGGCCCCCCTCAGGTCCCTTAGGGCCTCCTCGCGCTGCAGCAGGGGGGCCCCCGGGGACGCAGCCACCGACAGGGCACGGCGGATGCGGCTCACCTGCAGCAGCAGCAGCAGCAGCAGCAGCAGCAGCAGCAGCAGGTGGAGAGAAAAAGGAAAGAGATAATTTAAAAAATAAAAAGAGTTAATGGAAGAAATTGAAGGGATAATGAAGAAAACTAAAGGGGGATAGTAAAAGCGACAAAAAGAAATAATAAACGAGAAACTAAAAAGGAAAAAAAAAAGATGATAAAAGAGACAAGAAGAAATGAAAGAGAAAATAAAAAAGGAAATAAGAAAGAAAGTAAAAAAGAAATAAATAACAAGAAAAAAGAACAAAAAAAGACACACAAAGTGAAAATAAAAAAACAAAAAGATAAAAATAAAGATAATAAGGAGATAAAGAGAAAACAAAAAGAAAAAATTGAAATAAATGAAAGAGAAAATAAGGAGAAAAAATAAATTAATTTTAAAATAAAATAAAAAACAAAAATAAAAAGGGAAATGAAAGGAAAACAAAAACATGAATAAAAAATAAAAAGAAATTTAAAAAACTAAAAAGCATTAAAAAGAACTAAAAAGAACTAAAAGGAATTAAAAAGAATCAACCTTAAACCCTAAACCCTAAACCCTAAACCCTAAAAAGAAGTAAAAATAAACTCACAAGCTGCTCAATGGGTTCAGGGGCCTCCGCAGGCGGCGGCGGGGGGCCCCCAGGGGCCCCCTGGGGGCCCCCGGGGGCCCCCCG